TTAGTTGAGCTGAGCCCAGCGAGCCTTTTCGTAAATAAAAATTAAACGTTTCGGAGTTGTTTTTGAAACGTTACGAAGCTCAGAGAGCGAAAAGGATGGTGATCCGAATTTCCGAGAGGTGCAAGAATATCCACTTCATACTTATCAGGATGTGAGGTGAGAAAGAGGTCGAGGGTATTATTTTGGTGCCCTTCAACACATGAAATATGTGTTCGTTCATTCACTAATTGCGCAAGGTGGTTGTGCGCGGCAAATAACTCAACATATTGGCCTTCCGGAGTTGTATGACTTGAATGACGAAGCCAAGATGAGTTGTGAGCATTGAAATCACCAGCAACTACAATTTTACTGTTCGGACAACTCTCAAGAATCTTCAGTATGGAATCGGGAAGGGCGTCGAAGTTCAATATGGTAGCATCCTTTCCCGCGTTTGGACTTCTGTATCATTTGTGCCTAATGGTTGCTGGCACTGGTACACAACTTCATTGCGAACGTACATAGCAATGCCCCGATGGAAGTTGAAAAGCGATAGAAGGTGATACCCTGGTATATAAAAATCCTGTGGATCAGCATTCTCAGATACCTGGGTTTCACATAAGGCGAAAACATCCGGCTGATGGAGACAAACGTGAGCATATACAGAGAAAAAATTCACTCTCAACCCGCATATGTTGCAAAAGTCGATGCGAAAGCGACTCGCCATTACGATACAAGAAGAGATTCAAATCAATTGTCTATTTCCTATGATATAGTGTTCCTATAATTGATTATTGTTAATGAAACTGCTTGGTGACCTTGTTAATGAAACTGCTTGACCTTCGTCAATAAACAGTTCAACAACAATCAATATATAACACCAATATCACAAGAAATTAGTGGTCAGAGGATAGGGAAAAGGTTTCACAATGACGCAATTCAAAGGAGCCATAAAAGCCCTGATGTGGTCATTATGATAAAAAACGGCCTATTGTGTCAACACTATTAACAAGTGGCAACACTGTTGGAAATGATGATTTGTTCTGCTGTGGCTATTGTTGTTGCATTTAGCGATATTTTTATTTCTATTTTAAATTTCTCTTTCTGTTTAGTTGTGAAATTGTTCTTGTTGCATTTAAATTGCTTTTTTATGTTATTGTTTTGTATAAGAGAGTGTTGTATTTGTTTTCATTCCATATGTGTATTTATTGTGTTTTATTATTTTTAATTTTAAATATACTTCACTATTTCTTTTTGTTCTTTTTTGATTGTTTGTTTGTAAATTTTCTTGTTTTTCCTTTTTTAGTTTTTCCGACGCGGACACAACGGTGGGGACAATATAAACATTAAATCACACGATAAACAACGTTCAATTGCGGACAGAGTAAAAAACACATGTGAACAGGACAGTCGACAGAACACTACTGAACGTCTAGTTTGTTGAATTTGGGACAATACGATAGGTGATGGATTTGTCTACAAGCAGCACAGGCTTTTTTCATACCACTAGTGTAAGCACGAGCATGGCGCACCGCTTTTGAATTCATTTTATTTGATTTCTCAGATGTTGTTGGTTATCTTTCCAGTGCGTCACAACGTTCATTTATGAAGGTAAAAAATGTGTCCAGTGAAGGAAACGACATCTTACCAATGTACTCTGTCCAAGCTTGTAGAGTAATACGATCAAATTTCTTGCATAACAAGTTGATCAGCCAAGGATCTCTTTTTTCTGCGTCAGGGCTTTGGGCACGAAGACCACGAATTACATCATCCACGACATTTGACAACTTACGTAATACCATTGAATCTTCAGCCTTGGGAATTTGAAGAAATGTCTCAATAAGAGAATCCACAAACAGCAACGGTTTGTCGTATCGCTCTTGCAATTTTTTTAGTGCCTCCTCATAATTCTGATCAGACACTGGCAGATGGCGAATAAGATCCTCTTTTAACAATCCCTTCAAGTATTGAAACTTTTGAGCCGCGGACAAATAATGATTATTATGGATGGAGCTATAAAGAGGTCGAAAAACGATTTAAATTCCGAATATTTGCCATCGAATACCGGAAAGTTAAGTTTTGGTAAACGTACATCAGCGACAATATTTGAAGTATTCATCGTCTGAGACAGCGAGGCCTATGATACTGGTAATTGTCAGCTTGACAATTTTTCCAACAGGGCAGTTTGAGTTTCAACGAACATGACATCTAAGTTATTGGTGCGCAGTTTGGCGTCAATTAACTCACTACATTGGCCTTTAATTCGAAAATATTTTGCTTCGAATTCTTCGTACGGTCAGCCATTTGATCACCTTAAGCTGGCATTTGTATGTCCAATGCCTGAAACTGGTCATAAATATTCTCCAATTTTTCGAAACACGCGCGTAAGTCAAACAGCGAGGGTTGATCATTAGACTGCGATACGAAATTTTCTATGCGTGTCGCGGTACGCTTTAGATGTGCACGTTTGTTTTTAAGAATTTCCTATTTACTCATTGTTCACTTTTCTTAATAGTTCAATATATTATTGCAGCTATGGCATTTAAAAAGAAAAAAAAAAACACTAGAGTTTTCCACACACCAGTATTGTTTTATTTTATTGAAGCACAGTCAGGAAAAAAACTCGAACAACAACCAATTGACTTTTTTAATTTTCTTTGCAGCTAGGCGCGTACGTCACAAATTAATAAGTTCTTAAAACCGCATACAAAGATGTATGTGTATACTGCGATTTATGATCACGTCGGGGTCACCAAAAAATGTTCGCGAAAATTAAAAGATGTTGATCGACTTGTTGTTAATCATAAACTGACTTGTTATTTATTTGCAAGTTGTCCATCAACTTGTTTGTCTCATAATTGATACAATGTAAAAAAGGGACAAAATAATAGTAATAAAATCACTCAATAGAGTGTTTTTTAAAAATAAACAGGTTTATGTATAAACGGTTAAATTCTGGTTAAACATACAGAAATGCAAAATAAGAATTTTTAAGACAAAATTAAGGTTTCTCAACAAATAAGAAATATAATACTGCAATATTAAAACATTGTCAACAGTTTGAATTAGCCATTTTTATTCAATTTTAGTTGCCCAATGTAAGATAGATCTTCATTGAAAATTATTCTCAATTTTAAATTAACTCTTTGTGTTTGCAGGGTTGCATCAATATTAACACTTGAAAATAATATTAAAAAAATTAAAACAATTGAAAATTTAATTTTTTCCTGAAAATGCTTTTAATAATTTTGGGGCAAAAACACAACTTTTAGGAATGGTTATTGCTGCAGCAGCGGCTATTTAGCCAAAAGAATTGTACTAATGCTTAAATTAACGCTTAATATAAACGATTATTGTTAATTTCAATGCAACCCAAAAGCAGTCTATATACACCCTACACCACATTAAAGTGAACGGTATTTTGCATATGTATTGAAGTTAGTAACACTTACATGAAGTAACGACGTTATTCGTCCATAAAATAAGCCTTTTGAATTTCTTTGGAAGCGGTACATGGTATATAAGAATAGGCACTTTATAAATTTCGATTCAACAAATCTTATTTATACAAAAATTAGACTATATATTGTTATATTGAGCAGTACATTCATGAGTTAATCAGACAACAATTTCTTAAAAATATGTAGTGGTTGTGTATGTTTGGTATGGTAAAACCATACCAAAACAAAGGAAACTGGTGTTGCCAGAGTGGTAGCGGCGCTGGTATGCTCGCGTTTGCCGGGCTTCGAGCTCGCCGGATGGGGGTGGTTCTTGCTACCACTCTAGACATCTACACACATAAAAAATCATACCAGCTAAAAAAAAAATAAACAAAATAAAAAGATAAAGGGGCACCGAGTAGGTTTTTATCTGTCTCCCTGATGCAACGTACCTATGAAAATGTCTGGCAGATGTTGTGCCAGGTTAAACCCTGCCACTCGGGATTGGATAATCCCGCCATGACATCCTAATATTAGGGATGTCCCAAAATTTACCCTGCAAACTTTCCTTTCCCTACTTACCGCCGGTTATATTAGATTTAGCCGATCATTTTAATTGATTAAGACTTTTAAAGAATTCATTTAAACATTATAAACGTTAGATTTTATTATCGTAATTATTCCAAGTAAACTTTAACAATATTCGATTTATATTAAAAATTTAGTTTAGTTTTAATTTTAAGTTCAGCTTTAGGCTGAATCCTTACGAGGTAAGGATTCCTCAAGAATAAAGATATCTTGCCCTAACTAATAATTTCTTTTATAAAGAAAAGGAATTTTGTACGTCCGTCTTGTCGTCCAGGTAAAAACTTACAAAAGGTCGGAAAACCAAAAAAAAACCCAAAGCATCCCAGGCTTGGTGGTGCTGGAAAACAGCTTCTCCCTCGTTGTATGGAGTCGGTGTTGCAGTGGCTTAGCAGGTTGGTTTATGGTTTTTTATAAAAATGTTCTTTGTTTTTGAGTTTAAATTTTAAAATTTAATATATTTGACAATATAGAAAATAAATATTTAATTTAAAATAAAAGTTTGTTGTTGCTTTCTTTATTACGATGGCCACGGACTCCACCTTCTTTTTGTCTCCGAGCAAAAATCAAAAAGGAACGACATTTTCCCTTTTTGGTACCGAGAAACCTCGGTTACCAATATGGCTTCCCAGCTTTAATAAATTGCTCAGCCATTTGTTTGTCTATATACATTTTTTCTAAAGCTATTTGTTTTTGTTTTCATTTTCTCTTCTTCTTTCCAAACACAAAAAAAGTCCCTTTTTCTTACAGTTGCCACCTGTTTCATGTGCTTCTTCTTTAATTTAGTAGCTCTACTACAGGGTGCACACGACAAACCCCACCATTCCTGTTATTCATCCCTGGATACAGGATGGGAGGGAAAAAACGCACCCTAATTTTTCTGAACTACCCTAATGTCCTAGAACTTTTCTGGGATTTTGGGTATTTCATTATTCCCTTACAAAAAATTTGAACTATGGCAACCCTTATTCATTCGAGAACAGAAGTACAACTCTGTACCGCCGTCAGGCGGCGACGTACTCTGAACAGCTGCTTGAATGAATGGAAAAGGAGGAGGCAAATAAGAAAAATACTACGCGTGGTTGAAGAAGAAGCACCCAAACAAAAAAATTATCAATGGAGACAACGAGGTAAGTATTTTTTTGGTTAATAAACAATAAAATATTAAAAATATTAATTTAAATTGTTTAAAATAATATAATAATTTTTCCTTTTGTTTCTTTACAGGTTCTGGTGGCCAATAAAGGAGAGTTTAAACAAGGTAAGTAAAAGTGTTATACAAATGGAAATTTTATTAGTGGTGTTGTTAACTAACACAACCAAATTTTTTTTCTTTACAGGGGTCATGTTGGCTGCATTGGGCCTAAAAAAAACTTGATGGAAAAATGTGGAAATTATTTTAATTTTATATAAAAATTTCTAATAATTTCGTTTTAAATTTACAGGTTTTGTTCCCGATGGACCGGTGGACTAAGGATTAAGGTGGTTCCGGAAATTTAAGGTAAGTGAAATGAATTATTTTTGAGATATAAAAAGTTGGTTACAGTGTGTCAAAAGTGTGAGTGCCGGGTAAAAAAAATTAATCGAATAAAATAACAAAAATTAATAAATTTAAAATAATTTCGGTTCGGGTTTCGGAAAACGTGGTATCGGCAAAAATTTTTTTTTGGAAGTTACAGTGCGGGTAAAAGTAAACGGACGAACAAAAAAAAAAAAAATACTAGAAAAAAGATTTTAAAATCATTTCGTACATCTATATATATAAAATTCTAACGTTACTGACTGACTGACTGATTCACTGACTGATTCATCATCGCACAGCCTAAACGGTTGAAGCTAAAGAGCTGAAATTTGGACAGGAGGTTGGTCTCCCGCCAAATAGATCCACTAAGACGGGATTTTTGGAAATTCAAATGTTTAGGGGGTAAAAAGGGTAAAAACGGGTAAATTAGGTAACCTTATATCTCCTAAACTAGAAAAGATACAAAAACAGTTTAAAGCTTATCGCCTTTCATTTAAAAAATAAACGGACAGGTGTCTGGTACTTTTTTAAAATTCGGCCCCTTTAGGGAATAAACGGGTAAAAACTGTATTTTGGTACTTTTTTCGCACCCCATGTATCTTTTAAACCAGTGCAGATTCAAAAAATATTTTTGACTCCTTCATAACTTAACGAAAAAATAAAAATACGAATTTAGTACTTTTTGGATATTCGGACGTTTAAGGGGTTAAAATTGTACCTATTTTTGGTACTTTTTTCATAAAACATTGTTTTTGGTTTATTAACTTATACATATGAATACATAATAACGGGCTCACACTACGATGTTGCAACTTTTTGGAATAGAATTTTTATTTCGTTAATGGGGAGGAAAAAAGTATCAAAAGGGGTAAAAACGGGAAATTTGATTTTATTCAACCACAATGATCCAATTTAGATAAAATTTTTAAATTTAGAAACACTAAATATCCTAATGGGGTGTTATTTGGAACCCCGGTACCAAGTGATATTTTTTGGTACTTTTCATTCTCCAACTGGTCCTTTTTGAGTTTTCTATGATATTGAAATAGAAACATGAAATTAATAATAAAGGGACTTTTCGCTACTTTTTCGTTCTATACAGGTACTTTTTTGAGTTTTCTTTAAAATTAAAACTAGAAACATGAAATTAAGCATGTAGAGCTCGGAGTAAATGAGAATCTATAAAAGGGGACTTTTTGGTACTTTTTCGTCCTTCGACTGGTACTTTTTGAGTTTTCTATAAAATTTAACCTAGAAACATGAAATTAAGTATGTAGAGACCGGAGTAAATGAGAATCTATAAAAGGGGACTTTTTGGTACTTTTTCGTCCTTCGACTGGTACTTTTTGAGTTTTCTATAAAATTTAACCTAGAAACATGAAATTAAGCATGTAGAGCCCGGAGTAAATGAGAATCTATAAAAGGGGACTTTTTGGTACTTTTTCGTCCTTCGACTGGTACTTTTTGAGTTTTCTATAAAATTTAACCTAGAAACATGAAATTAAGCATGCGGAGGCCTTAGTTAATGAGAATCTATAAAAGGGAACTTTTGGTACTTTTTCGTCCTTCGACTGGTACTTTTCGAGTTTTCTATAAAATTTAACCTAGAAACATGAAATTAAGCATGTAGAGCCCGGAGTAAATGAGAATCTATAAAAGGGGACTTTTTGGTACTTTTTCGTCCTTCGACTGGTACCTTTTGAGTTTTCTATAAAATTTAACCTAGAAACATGAAATTAAGCATGCGGAGGCCTTAGTAAATCAGAATCTATAAAAGGGGACTTTTTGGTACTTTTCGTCTTTCGACTGGTACTTTTTGAGTTTTCTATAAAATTTAACCTAGAAACATGAAATTAAGCATGTAGAGCCCGGAGTAAATGAGAATCTATAAAAGGGCACTTTTTGGTACTTTTTCGTTCTTCAAAAGGTACTTTTTGTGTTTTTTATAATATTGATCCTAGAAACATGAAATTAAGCATGTGGAGCCCGGAGTTAATTAGAATCTATAAAAGCAATCAGGGACTTGAGTGAATGAAAATTTAAACTGGAATATTTTCTGGTACTTTTTGAATTTTCTATAATATTGAACTTAGGAACATGAAATTAAATAAAATAGCTTTCTAAAATATTGAATATATAAACATAAAATTAAACACGCAGTATCCCAATTGAACGAAAATTGAAAAAGGATACTCTGGTACTTTTTTGTTCTTTTACTAATACTTTTCGAATTTTCTATAATATTAAACCTAAAAACATAAAATTGGACATGTAGCTTCCTGATTATATAAAAATCTTTATGCGATTTTTTGGTTTCTGGTTGAAAATTAAACGTGCGTCATCCTGATTTAATGAAAATATATAAAATGGCACTGTCTGGTACTTTTTCGTTCTTCAACTGTTTTTTTTTTAATTTTCTGTAATATTGAGACTAGAATCATAAAATCAAACTTAGATTCAAAAAATATTTTTGACTCCTTCATAACTTATCTTGCCCTAACTAATAATTTCTTTTATAAAGAAAAGGAATTTTGTACGTCCGTCTTGTCGTCCAGGTAAAAACTTACAAAAGGTCGGAAAACCAAAAAAAAACCCAAAGCACCCCAGGCTTGGTGGTGCTGGAAAACAGCTTCTCCCTCGTTGTATGGAGTCGGTGTTGCAGTGGCTTAGCAGGTTGGTTTATGGTTTTTTATAAAAATGTTCTTTGTTTTTGAGTTTAAATTTTAAAATTTAATATATTTGACAATATAGAAAATAAATATTTAATTTAAAATAAAAGTTTGTTGTTGCTTTCTTTATTACGATGGCCACGGACTCCACCTTCTTTTTGTCTCCGAGCAAAAATCAAAAAGGAACGACATTTTCCCTTTTTGGTACCGAGAAACCTCGGTTACCAATATGGCTTCCCAGCTTTAATAAATTGCTCAGCCATTTGTTTGTCTATATACATTTTTTCTAAAGCTATTTGTTTTTGTTTTCATTTTCTCTTCTTCTTTCCAAACACAAAAAAAGTCCCTTTTTCTTACAGTTGCCACCTGTTTCATGTGCTTCTTCTTTAATTTAGTAGCTCTACTACAGGGTGCACACGACAAACCCCACCATTCCTGTTATTCATCCCTGGATACAGGATGGGAGGGAAAAAACGCACCCTAATTTTTCTGAACTACCCTAATGTCCTAGAACTTTTCTGGGATTTTGGGTATTTCATTATTCCCTTACAAAAAATTTGAACTATGGCAACCCTTATTCATTCGAGAACAGAAGTACAACTCTGTACCGCCGTCAGGCGGCGACGTACTCTGAACAGCTGCTTGAATGAATGGAAAAGGAGGAGGCAAATAAGAAAAATACTACGCGTGGTTGAAGAAGAAGCACCCAAACAAAAAAATTATCAATGGAGACAACGAGGTAAGTATTTTTTTGGTTAATAAACAATAAAATATTAAAAATATTAATTTAAATTGTTTAAAATAATATAATAATTTTTCCTTTTGTTTCTTTACAGGTTCTGGTGGCCAATAAAGGAGAGTTTAAACAAGGTAAGTAAAAGTGTTATACAAATGGAAATTTTATTAGTGGTGTTGTTAACTAACACAACCAAATTTTTTTTCTTTACAGGGGTCATGTTGGCTGCATTGGGCCTAAAAAAAACTTGATGGAAAAATGTGGAAATTATTTTAATTTTATATAAAAATTTCTAATAATTTCGTTTTAAATTTACAGGTTTTGTTCCCGATGGACCGGTGGACTAAGGATTAAGGTGGTTCCGGAAATTTAAGGTAAGTGAAATGAATTATTTTTGAGATATAAAAAGTTGGTTACAGTGTGTCAAAAGTGTGAGTGCCGGGTAAAAAAAATTAATCGAATAAAATAACAAAAATTAATAAATTTAAAATAATTTCGGTTCGGGTTTCGGAAAACGTGGTATCGGCAAAAATTTTTTTTTTGGAAGTTACAGTGCGGGTAAAAGTAAACGGACGAACAAAAAAAAAAAAAATACTAGAAAAAAGATTTTAAAATCATTTCGTACATCTATATATATAAAATTCTAACGTTACTGACTGACTGACTGATTCACTGACTGATTCATCATCGCACAGCCTAAACGGTTGAAGCTAAAGAGCTGAAATTTGGACAGGAGGTTGGTCTCCCGCCAAATAGATCCACTAAGACGGGATTTTTGGAAATTCAAATGTTTAGGGGGTAAAAAGGGTAAAAACGGGTAAATTAGGTAACCTTATATCTCCTAAACTAGAAAAGATACAAAAACAGTTTAAAGCTTATCGCCTTTCATTTAAAAAATAAACGGACAGGTGTCTGGTACTTTTTTAAAATTCGGCCCCTTTAGGGAATAAACGGGTAAAAACTGTATTTTGGTACTTTTTTCGCACCCCATGTATCTTTTAAACCAGTGCAGATTCAAAAAATATTTTTGACTCCTTCATAACTTAACGAAAAAATAAAAATACGAATTTAGTACTTTTTGGATATTCGGACGTTTAAGGGGTTAAAATTGTACCTATTTTTGGTACTTTTTTCATAAAACATTGTTTTTGGTTTATTAACTTATACATATGAATACATAATAACGGGCTCACACTACGATGTTGCAACTTTTTGGAATAGAATTTTTATTTCGTTAATGGGGAGGAAAAAAGTACCAAAAGGGGTAAAAACGGGAAATTTGATTTTATTCAACCACAATGATCCAATTTAGATAAAATTTTTAAATTTAGAAACACTAAATATCCTAATGGGGTGTTATTTGGAACCCCGGTACCAAGTGATATTTTTTGGTACTTTTCATTCTCCAACTGGTCCTTTTTGAGTTTTCTATGATATTGAAATAGAAACATGAAATTAATAATAAAGGGACTTTTCGCTACTTTTTCGTTCTATACAGGTACTTTTTTGAGTTTTCTTTAAAATTAAAACTAGAAACATGAAATTAAGCATGTAGAGCTCGGAGTAAATGAGAATCTATAAAAGGGGACTTTTTGGTACTTTTTCGTCCTTCGACTGGTACTTTTTGAGTTTTCTATAAAATTTAACCTAGAAACATGAAATTAAGTATGTAGAGACCGGAGTAAATGAGAATCTATAAAAGGGGACTTTTTGGTACTTTTTCGTCCTTCGACTGGTACTTTTTGAGTTTTCTATAAAATTTAACCTAGAAACATGAAATTAAGCATGTAGAGCCCGGAGTAAATGAGAATCTATAAAAGGGGACTTTTTGGTACTTTTTCGTCCTTCGACTGGTACTTTTTGAGTTTTCTATAAAATTTAACCTAGAAACATGAAATTAAGCATGCGGAGGCCTTAGTAAATCAGAATCTATAAAAGGGGACTTTTTGGTACTTTTTCGTCTTTCGACTGGTACTTTTTGAGTTTTCTATAAAATTTAACCTAGAAACATGAAATTAAGCATGTAGAGCCCGGAGTAAATGAGAATCTATAAAAGGGCACTTTTTGGTACTTTTTCGTTCTTCAAAAGGTACCTTTTGAATTTCCTATAATATTGAACCTAGAAACATAAAATTAAGTATGTAGAGGATGGATTAAGTGAGAACCTCTAAAAGGGGACTTTTGGTACTTTTTCGTTCTTCAAAAGGTACTTTTTGGATTTTTGTATAATATAGAACCTAGAAACGTGAAATTAAGCATGTAGAGCCCGGAGTAAATGAGAATCTATAAAAGGGGACTTTTCGTTCATCAAAAGGTACTTTTTGAATTTTTTATAATATTGAACCTAGAAACATGAAATTAAGTATGTAGAGCCTGGATTAAGTGAGAACATATAAAAGGGGACTTTTTGGAACTTTTTCGTTCTTCAAAAGGTACTTTTTGGATTTTTGTATGATATTGAACCTAGAAACGTGAAATTAAGCATGTAGAGCCCGGATTAAGTGAGGACCTATAAAAGGGGACTTTTTGGTACTTTTTCGTTCTTTAAAAGGTACATTTTGAATTTTCTATAATATTGAACCTAGAAACATGAAATTAAGCATTTAAAGCCTGGATTAAGTGAGAACCTATAAAAGGGCACTTTTTGGTATTTTTTCGTTCTTCAAAAGGTACTTTTTGTGTTTTTTATAATATTGATCCTAGAAACATGAAATTAAGCATGTGGAGCCCGGAGTTAATTAGAATCTATAAAAGCAATCAGGGACTTGAGTGAATGAAAATTTAAACTGGAATATTTTCTGGTACTTTTTGAATTTTCTATAATATTGAACTTAGGAACATGAAATTAAATAAAATAGCTTTCTAAAATATTGAATATATAAACATAAAATTAAACACGCAGTATCCCAATTGAACGAAAATTGAAAAAGGATACTCTGGTACTTTTTTGTTCTTTTACTAATACTTTTCGAATTTTCTATAATATTAAACCTAAAAACATAAAATTGGACATGTAGCTTCCTGATTATATAAAAATCTTTATGCGATTTTTTGGTTTCTGGTTGAAAATTAAACGTGCGTCATCCTGATTTAATGAAAATATATAAAATGGCACTGTCTGGTACTTTTTCGTTCTTCAACTGTTTTTTTTTTTAATTTTCTGTAATATTGAGACTAGAATCATAAAATCAAACTTAGATTCAAAAAATATTTTTGACTCCTTCATAACTTAACAAAAAAATAAAAATATGAATTTAGTACTTTTTGGATATTCGGACGTTTAAGGGGTTAAAATTGTACCTATTTTTGGTACTTTTTTCATAAAACATTGTTTTTGGTTTATTAACTTATACATATGAATACATAATAACGGGCTCCCACTACGATGTTGCAACTTTTTGGAATAGAATTTTTGATCCTTTTTGAGGAGCCCGGAGTTAATTAGAATCTATAAAAGCAATCAGGGACTTGAGTGAATGAAAATTTAAACTGGAATATTTTCTGGTACTTTTTGAATTTTCTATAATATTGAACTTAGGAACATGAAATTAAATAAAATAGCTTTCTAAAATATTGAATATATAAACATAAAATTAAACACGCAGTATCCCAATTGAACGAAAATTGAAAAAGGATACTCTGGTACTTTTTTGTTCTTTTACTAATACTTTTCGAATTTTCTATAATATTGAACCTAAAAACATAAAATTGGACATGTAGCTTCCTGATTATATAAAAATCTTTATGCGATTTTTTGGTTTCTGGTTGAAAATTAAACGTGCGTCATCCTGATTTAATGAAAATATATAAAATGGCACTGTCTGGTACTTTTTCGTTCTTCAACTGTTTTTTTTTAATTTTCTGTAATATTGAGACTAGAATCATAAAATCAAACTTAAAGAGTTCTCTAAAAGGGGAATTTTTGATATTGCAGATATATATACATTTACAATAATGATATTTATTTTATTCCATTACGATGAGGGTAGCGAAGCACACTGGGTATAGCTAGTATTAATTAAAAGTGAAAATGTTAAAAAATTATTTGATTGGAATTTACAGTGAGTGTCAAAAGTGTACGGACAAAAAAATATTAAAAATTTTAAAATTTATTTAAAGTGAAGTTGGAACATACCGTGAGTGCAAAAAGTAACCAAATAAAAAACTTGTCAAAGAGTGTTGTTTAATTGAAATATAAACAAAAACTTATACTGAGAACCAAAAGTGAAGAGACGAAAAAATTTTTTAGTGAACTGAATAAGTGAAATCGGAAACTAAAGTTTGAAAATTTACAGCGGTGAACAGAATTTGTGAATTAGTTAAATTTAAAATAAAAAATAAAAAAATATTTGTGTAAACAAAATTTAGTTAGTTAGTTTGAAAGGAGGATGTATATACATCAAATCTGAAGAAATACATCTAGGCCTCTATCGGGCCTGTTGTGCGCTCTTTAACCAGTGCCTCAGGTGGGAATCGAACCCACCACCTCCGGTCTAACAGACTAGAACACTAACCACTAACCTACCGGAGGCCACTACTAACTAACAACTAACTAACTAAACAAAATTTAAATGACTATTGACCAAAACCTTTTGTAACCAAACCAAAAGAAAAATTTTTAAAGAAAACTTAAAAAAAATTTAGACCGATCCTAAATGGATAGAATAAAAAAAGTGGAAATAAAATTATTTCTCCAATTAAAATATCTTTTTGCTTTAATTCAAAATTAATAATTTTATAAATTTTCTTTTACTTTCAGCTAATAAAATTCAATTGGACCTGGGATTTGGCCTTGGTTTACTGCTTCCGTTCAGAAAAGGTAAGTAATTAAAACTAAATAATAACAAATGAAATATAATTTCATCTATATTAAGTTTATTCTATATTTAAGACTTAATTGTAGGAAATTTGGTAGAAATGTAAGGACTAAGTTCACCAAAGCTCATAGACTAATGTCTAGAGACTTTGGCGAGAAATACCCCTTACAATTTCTCCAGAAATAAAGGTAAAAAGATTTAAAAATTAAATTATAAATAAAATAGAAAGTGTAATTTTCTAAAAGGAATAATAAATAAAAATTATTTGATTTTAGCTTGTAATTCAGTTTGTTCTTTTAGAAGATTACAAAAATCTAAATTAACTTTACTAATTATATTTTATTTATCTTCCACAGGTTATAAATTCAGATGGAACCTGGACCGGAAGACTACCGATGAAATTATTTGGATCAAATTATATTTCAAAAAGGTAAGTACTAAATAATAATAAGGTTATCTAAATCAATTGATTAGATATCGTAAATGATTTGTATCATTAAAACTTATTTTAGACCAAATACTAATCGTTTTGTTTTTCTTTTCACAGGTTTTAAGTTCCTGAAGAAAATCAACAGCATTAACTGTAAGATAGAGAGAAAAATATCTCCAATCAATGAAATTTTAATCGGTAAGTGAAAATTTTATATTTCTATTATTAACATCTAATTTTAAGTTATTCTGTCTAGTCTAATATAAGATTTCGTATTTAAATTATATTTAACAGCAAACTATCGATATATTGCCTTATTTCTTGATCGTTAAGATCATAATGTTTTCCATTAGAAAAAACTATTTTGCCAGGAATAGTTCGTGTTGTGAGAACAACTTACCGTAGCGATAGATTTCCCTGTTAACGAGTAATTCACGTGTTTCTACTCGAAACGCTTGTTGGATATTCGCCGTAGCTTTGCTCCCAGACAACTCAAATTGCCAAATTTTAGTCAGCGCTTAAATGACTAATAATTCATAACCCTGAGTGCATGGTTCCAAAGGGTGCTATGACTGAATTGCATCTATGACTAGCGTCTGACGACCACAACGTGGTCATAAACGAAAATTAATAGACTTATTCTGGTTGAGCACTCGGCGAACTATTCGTTAACGGGCAAACTATTGTTCCACAACACAAATGAACTTTCCAGGTCATAGGTTTCCACTAAAAGAAAAATAAACAACTGTTAGATAGAATCAAGGCAAAAATATATTAGTAACAAAATGTTTTGTGTATAAAAGTATCTACTAACTCATTTATACAAAATAAAGAAAATAAAATAGGTTTTATCATTTTGGTTAGAGCTAGGAGTAGGTAGAATCGTTGGGACTAGAACCACCAAAGATGTTGAAGCTATTGTTTCTAATCTTTGGCATGAAATACCCCCAGCGATTCTTTCATTCTTGGAAGGAAACTGCATGTCAACAATTTATTTTTGATGTTAATTAAAATCAAAATATCAAAATAATTAAAAAACTAATCGCACGATTTCTACAATATTTTTGCACAAATAAAATTGTTAAGAAAATTATTTTTGCGAAAACAGATTTTTGTTGTGGCAAAGAGGCCACTTAAAAAGAAAAATTTTTCATAAAAATATCGAATTAACACATGCAATGACAATTACATATTAAAAAAATTGAATAGTTGTAGAAACAATTACATATTATTCGTACACTATACTAGAGCTAGTATTGAGAAAATAGTTTTTGCGAAAATAAACTTCGAATTTTTCCAATTTACAACAATGAGCCAAATTTCGAACCCTACAATGTATAAAAACGAATCACTGTGCTGCCGTTGAAAAAAATCAAACTTTTTTGACCATAGCTGAGATCAAGTTTTGCGTTATCTTATAAGGACAAAAACTAATATTCGAGTAATTATAGATATATTTTAAGTAAAAAAAATTTTTTAGAATATATCCAAAAAAGTATATTTTTTTTGTCACATTTCGAATTCATGTGCTGTGAAACACGTTAATGGCCTGGGTAATTTGCAATAACTTTAAAATTTTTCAAGCAATTTATGTGCTTTATATCTCTCCTAAATACTTAGTCTCTGCACATTGCAATAAAGTGCAAAATGTATTACTAATTGGCCAAATTTGAACAAAAACTGAAAAAATCAATATTTTCCCCTTGTAAATATACTTGGAAACTTCAGAGCCTGTTAACATTATCATATCAGCCTAATTATTCCCTTCACCTTCGTGAGAAGGGTTTATATAAGTTTGTCATTCCGTTTGTAATTTCTATAATATAATTTTCCGACCCTATAAAGTATATATATTCTGGATCCTTATAGATGGCGGAGTCGATTTAGCCATGTCCGTCTGTCTGTCTGTATGTATGAAGTCGAAGTGCTTTACGTGAGTACCTGGCGTGTAGCCCTATCTCACGGTGGTACTTTTTCAACCACTCGATGAGTATCAAGTAAACAACTCACCACTGCCCCTTTGTGTTTGTTACACGCAGGTCGCAATTTTTGTACATGGATATGCCGGTCCATGTACCAGCACTTTGCTCAAGTACTCGAGCTATCTAATCTCTTGCCAAAGTAGTCACGTTGGGGAAAGACAGGTGTCATGAGCAAGCTCAATCTACCCCGACATAATGTCGCCCAACCACACTACTATGGCTCTGTTAATTCGGCAACAGCACCTAGGGGACGTAATTGGTAATCCGAAAAACACAGATCATATGTATTAATTGACAAGACTTTATTTCAGTGGTCACAAAGATCCACTATGATAAGTTGAGCTTGCACTCAACCATGTTGGAAAATCGCTTTTAAATTAAAGAAAGGGCAGTGACGACTTCGCACTCCATTGGCTTGCTAGACCGTAGTCTAACTCTCATTCATCGTTCATCTTACATCGGTTCCCCATTATCACTCATCCGTCAAATCCATCAATCACTCCATTCTCTTTATAGAATCAAAGTAGACATCAGAAACATCGTTCATCTTCGTCTACCAATTCTTCGCATTATCAGCTCAATTCCAACATTTTATTAATCCACTGTCATGCTCTGTAATTTGTACCGCTCCTTGCATCTAGGAACGATAACATAAATGTATCTTGAAAATTTATATTTCACCGTGTATCAGTCTTTTAACCAAGCACCCCCTTCCTGCGATTTAGGTTTCAACCACAGCCACTACGTGGATCACGAAGGAACCTCAACCAACTGATCAGCCAGGAGAAGTCCTGTGGGCAACTGGCCACCCGTAGTACCAGATTAAGTGGTGCTCTGGTTAGACCTCTTTCCAATTTATGCAAGGACTAGGCCAAGCAGTAAATTGTCAACACCAATTTATAGTCCCGGAAGACTACAGACTGCAATACACCAAGATGCGGTCTGACATCAAGGAAACATGCCCGGGGGGGGCTGTCTGTGTGTATGTTGAAATCAGTTTTCAGAAGACCCCTGATATTTGCAAGATCCGAATTTTCAATAATTCTATCGGAAACACGATCGAATAGAACGCTATTTTAAATCAGCCCAATCGGTCCATAAATAACGAAGATATGAGTAAAAATCCGAGACCACCTCTGAAAATTTCATGAAAAATTTACATTTTTCGTGCACGCTTATACAAAGCAATAAACAAACAAAAACAAAACACAGTATCAAACGGTAATTTTTTTTGTTATTGTAATTTCTTGTCTATAAACACAAAGCAAAGAATGAACATCACGTTACGTTGTTATTGCCTAGAAACATGAAATTAATTATGTAGAGCCTGGATTAGGCGAGAACACATTAAAGGGGATTTTTTGGTACGTTTTCGTTCTAAAAAAGGTACTTTTTGAGCTTCGTATAATATTGAACCTTGAAACATGAAATTAAGTATGTAGAGTCTAGTTTAAGTGAGAACTCATAACAGGGGACTTTTTGGTACCTTACCGTTTTGCAATTGGTATTTTTTGATTTTTTGTATTAAAATTCATACTGACTGTTTTTTAACACATCATGGTGAAGGGTATATTAGATTCGGCACAGCCGAATATAGAACTCTTACTTGTTTTTGGTATGACATAGTTTTACAACACAAAGAACAATTCTAGAGAGGCGGCCTGTCAGACAAGCTTGAATCACTCTACTGTTACATACTACTTACTAAATTTAACAAATGTTAAACTATGATAGGTAGGTAGGTCGATAGGATGTATACTACATCAAATCCGAAGAAATACACCTAGGTCACTATCCTTATCATGAAAACAAAAAAAAACTGAAAGAATTATTTTTCAGTGTTCAGAAACTCAGTTTCCTGAACGTAATTCCTAAGAATCTTCCAATCAGTGTTAGTCAGGAATGTTATTTCCGGAATAACATCACTTCCAAGATACTTGGATCTAACTTCGACGAATGCCTGGCAGTGGCAAAGAAAGTGCTCCAGAGTTTCACTGTCCTCTCCACATGCTCTACATTCGTCTGAATCCGCACGTCCAATTTTGCATAGATGTGCTTGTAGTCCTGTGTGTCCACTCAGAATACGTATCATAATACTAACTTCAGACTTGCTCTTGGGAGAGTATTCAGTTAAAGCTTTCTTACAATCCAATACGGTCTTAGATTTAGTTCTATCGCCTGATATCGCCCTAATTGCCTTCTGGCTGTCGGTAAATATATTAAGCGCTGTGGGCGCCATATTTATTATAATCCAATTTACACATTCCGTTATTGCTCGTACTTCTGCCTGGAAGCTTGTGTTATGATTTGGTAAACGGTGGTATAATTCTGTTTCTGGGTCTTCAATATAGAAACCCAGCACCACTTTGTCCCCCAATTTAGAGCCATCCGTGTAACAACGGATTCCTACTGGTATTTGCTCTAATGTTCCGCTTGACCAAGACATTCTATCTGAGATCAGCGTTTCAAAGTTTCCGACATATTCTGTGTCTGGTATACGGTCACGCATGTCCGATGATTGTGTATAACCTTCCAATGTGTCCAGTATACATTGATGACGTGTCCTATAACCGCTTTTGGCCAGTACGCCTAAAGTAAAGAGCCGTTCGGCTGTAAGCGCCGCCTCATATCTTAAATATGTTTCTATGGGTGGAATATCTAGCAACGTTTCCAGAGCTTTGGTTGAAGTAGTACACATGGCACCACTTATACACAATCAGCATGTCCGCTGAACTCACTGTAGTAGTTTGATATTGCACTTTTTGTCTAAAGCAGTCCACCAGATTATTGAAGTATAAGCTAGAATTGGTCTAATTACGCTTTTACAAAGCCAATTTCTCATAGTAGGACTAAGACGACATTTCATGCCTATAGTTCTCCTACATATCGCCCAGCACCGATATGCCTTGTTGATCCTATCCTCTATATGGTGTCTCCATTTTAATTTCCGGTCGAGGATTACATCTAAGTACTTAACTTTGTCTGTCACTGGTATCTTCTTGCCCAGGAAGCAAGGTTCAGTATACGTAGACATTTTTGTCTTTCTTGTGAGTCCAGCTCAAGGCCGTATTCAGAGTCCCCTCAGCTCTTCTACACAAGTAATTTGGATCCTTTCCCTTTAAAAGTATTACGACATCGTCTGCATAGCAGACAGGTCTAAGTCCTTTCTCAGTTAGGGTCCTTAGGAGGCTATTAATCATGGTAACCCAGAGTAAA